CCAGCCCTGTTCTTTGTACTTTTTGACTGTTTACTATTGTTTTTTCACCTGGGTAATGAAGTGTCCTTGACAATTCCTCATCCCCAACTTCGATATGCGTACCAAAATGTGGGGGTTTGCCTGTTTGCTTTTTTGTTTTTGTTTTTTTTTGGTTTGGTTTGGTTTGGTTTGGCTTGGTTTGGTTTTTTGAATCAGAGTCTATGTAGTTCAAGCTATCCTTGAACTCACTATGTAGCCCAAGCTGACCTCGAGCTCACAGGGATCCTCCTGCCTCAGTCTTCCAAGCGCTGATATTACAGATGTGAGCTACTGTGCCTGGTTTAATTTTTAAATTTAGATTTAATTCATCATTAAGTTGTGATGCTGGCGGGCCGGGGATTTAGCTCAGTGGTTCTGCCGCCTCTCAAGCACAAGTTCCCCGAGTTTGGTCCCCCGTACCAAAAAAAAAGAAAAAAAAGAAAAAAATCAAAGTTTGTGGTGCTGGGGATCAAACCCATTGGCCTCCTTCATGCACTCTCTACTACTGAGCTATACCTCCAGTCTCTAGATTTTTTTTCTTGGTGCTGGAGATAGAACCCAGGAGAAGATCCGTTTTCTTTTCTTTTCTTTTTCTTTTTCTTTTTTCTTTCTGTTTTTTGTTTTTGTTTTTGTTTTGTTTTTGGTACCAGGGATCGAACTCCAGTCCTTGCGCTTGGGAGGTAGGTGGTGGAACCACTGAGCTAAATCCCCGGCAGAAGATCTGTTTTGATGGTCAGGAGGTCGTGCCCCCTTTTCAGTACCTATAAAATTAGATTTACCTAGATAGATCAGGCAGTTTTTTTCTTTCTGCAAGTCTGTGTGTGTGCTGCCCCCTAGTGTTGTTGGTTTTTTGCTATAGGTAGTGGTGACTTTGAGTGTACCTAATTTGCTTCTTGCAGTTCTCCTTTCCCTGCCTAGAATTCAGATGTCCTTGCAGTCAGTGGCAGGCCCTGGAGCACTGAGATCCCTGAGGATCACAACTTCCGTGATCTGAGCCATAGAGAAGTGGTTTTGTCTTTATTTTTGCAATGCTGGAAATCAAATCCAGGACCTCATAAATGCTAAGCAAGTGTTCTACCACTGAACTACATCCTCAGCAAAGACAGAAGTTGTTCCCAAACTTTAGGATGTACTTCTGATTCATTAATCTGGTGTGAGAACCAGGGTATTGATTGATTGGTTGAGACACTGGGGATGGAATGCAGAGCCTCGTGCATTTTGGGTAAGTAGTACAACACTGAGCTATATCCCCAGCTGTTATGGCTTGTGTCTAGATGTCCCCACAAGGCCTCATATAGTCATAGGTAGGGCTTTTTAGAAGTGGGTGGTTCTAGGGTTTGTGATGCTGAGATCAAGGATGTGATGCTAGGGTTGATTCACAGTGAGATGCTGGGATTAAGGGTGTGAGTGCTACTCACCCTAAGAGTAGGTAACTTGGATAAAATATAAGAGACAGAAAGAATGCTGCTGTTGTTGCTTGCTGCCTTCTGCCTGCCTGCTCTGTGATGCCCCTCTGTCATGACACCCTGCCTTGGAGCCAGCCAATTATGAACTGAAACCTCTCCGAACTGTGAGTTACAATAAACCTTTCCTCCTTTAATTTTGGTGTTGGATATTTTGTCTCAGAAACCAGAAAAGTAACTAAAACACCAGCCCAGAAACTGAATTTTAAAAAAGCATCACAGGTGTGGCCAGGGATTTAGCTCAGTGGTTTTGCTGCCTGCTGCACAAGCACAAGGACCGGAGTTCGGACCCGAGTTCATCCCCGATACCAAAAAAAAA